TATGGGCTCAGACAATCCACTCACCTCAGCCTCCCAAAGGCGTGGGATTACAGGCTGAGCCACTGAGCCCAGCTCTGTTTGTTTATTTTAAAGACAGGCTCTTGCTCTGTTACTCAGCCTGGAGTGCAGTGGTGTGATCATAGTTCACAACAGTCTCAAACGTCTGGGCTCACAAAATCTAGCCCCAATCTCCTGAGTAGCTAGGACTACAGGTGCACACCATCACACCCAGCTAATTAAAAAAATATGAAGCCGGGCTCGGTGGCTCAGCCTGTAATCCCGCGCCTTTGGGAGGCTGAGGTGAGTGGATTGCCTGAGCCCGCGGGTTCGAGACCCACCTGGGCAGCGGGACTTCATCTCTACGATAAATCAAAAAATCAGCCGGGCGTGGTAGCGCGTGCCTGTAATTCCGGCTACTTGGAAGGCTGAGGCGGAAGGATTGCGGGAGCCCAGCAGGTCGAGGTTGCGGTGGCCGGGAGTGGCCACTGCACTCCAGTCTGGGTGACAGAGTGAGACTCCAACTCAAAAAAAAAAAAAAAAAAGTATGTTGTAGATGGCTCAGCCTGTAATCCCAGCACTTTGGGAGGCCGAGGCAAGTGGATTGCCTGAGCCTGTGGGTTCGAGACCCACCCGGGCAACTTGTCAAAACCTCATCTCTACAATAAATCAAAAATTAGCCGGGCATGGTAGCGCGCACCTGTAGTTCCAGCTACTTGGAAGGCTGAGGCGGAAGGATCGCCGGAGCCCAGCAGGTGGATGCTGGGGTGGCCATGAGCATGCGTGTGTGCCACTGCACTCCAGCCTGGGCAAAGGAGTAAGACTGCAACTTAAAAAAAAAATTGTTGTAGAAATGGGATCTTCCTATCTTCCCCAGGCTGGTGTCAAACTCTTGGACTCAAGCGATCCTCCTGCCTCAGCCTCCCAAAATGCTGGGATTACAGGTGTGAGCTATTGTGCCTGGTCAGGTTTAATACGTTAATGTTAAAGCAATAGATAAGATCACCTTAATTCGCTGCAGAAAAAAAGGTTAAACAACGTCCAATACTCATTCATAATTTTAAAAATACTTGTAACAAACTAGAAATAGAAGGTAATTTTTTATAATCTTAGAAAGGTGAGCCATAGGCCAGGTGTGGTGACTCACGCCTATAATCCCAGCACTTTGGGAAGAGGCCAAGGTGAGACGATTGACTGAGCCCATAGGTTCAAGACCAGCCTGGGCAACTTGGCAAGACCTCATCTCTACAATAAATCAAAAAATTAGCCGGGTGTGGTAGCACATGCCTGTAGCTCCAGCTACTTGGAAGGCTAAGGCAGAAGGATCGTCTGAGCCCAGCAGGTCGAGGCTGAGGTGGCCATGAGTGTGACACTGCACTCAGCCTGGGCGATAGAGTGACCCTGACTCAAAAAAAAAAAAAAAAAAAGAAAGAAAGAAAGGAGAGTCACAAATAACCTACAGCAGACACCTAATATGATGATAAAAGACTGAATATTTTCTCTCAGAAGATTATAACCAAGGATGTCTGCTTTCACCACTTTTACTTAATACTGTATTGGCAGTAACAGCTACTGCAATCAAGCATGAAAAAAAGGGTATGCCCATGGGTTCAGGCCGGGAATCCCAGCCCTTTGGGAGGTTAAGGTGGGAGGGTTGTTTGAGCCCATTAGTTTGAGCCCAGCCAGGACAACATACCAAGACTTGGTTTTTACAAAAAAAAAAAAAAAAAAAAAAAAAAAATGGGCATGGTGGTGCACACCTGTAGTTCCAGCTACTTGGGAGGCTGAAGCGGAAGGATTGCTTGAGCCCAGGAGGTTGAGACTGCGGTAGCCGTGTCTGGGTGGCAGAGTGAGACTCCAACTCAAAAAATAAATAAATAGCCAGGCTCGGTGGCTCAGCCTGTAATCCCGCACCTTTGGGAGGCTGAGGTGAGTGAATTGCCTGAGACCGCGGGTTTGAG